AATCTGAAGGCAAAAACTACTGACACAATTATTATACTGAAAGTTTTCTTTCCTTGTCAGTATGCCAGTATGTCAGTATTGCAAAAATCAATGAAACCCTAAACAGCCAGAATTGCGAAAGTCTGAAAACTGGGAAGTTTCTGTAAAGAAATTCCTAGTCAGCTAGATGAATCTGCGTCAGGATAATGTCCAAGAGCAATCTGCTGTTCAGGATGAAGTCAAGCGCATGAAAGTTGAAGTCTGTGAGGAAAATGAAGTAAGCGAAAAACCCTCGAAAAAAGAAAAGAAAAGGAAAGACAAAATAGAGAAAGTGGAGGAAGGTGAGTAATCAAGATTCCGTTCTGCTCATATATCTAAAGTCTGAGGAATGTGCCTTACTGAGCTCTGCTGCCTTTCAATCTATAAATTCTAGTAATATATAAATTTTTGGAAAGTAATATGTGTTTTCAGCTGTACCATTAGTTAGTGGAAACGATGAAACAGGGAAGAAGAAGAAGAAAAACAAGAACAAAGAGGTCAGGCAATAGCTGTAAAACATATATAAGTTTGTTTTGGAATGTGTTGTTGTCTGTTTGTTGTTATTCTAAGCCTTTTTGGCTAGAGACTGTTTTATTTCAAAGGCGTTGTTGAGTCAAAGCACCGTTCAAGCCTCTTTGAATTTATACTATGCTTTGTTGTCTTACGTTTGCAAAACATTGTTACCTTCAACTTTACATCTTGTAGTCGAATAATTTTGTTGAAATGGTCAGCACAGATTGTAAAATGGTGTACAAATGTTAATAAAAAATGACGAGATCTATATCAAATGAATTGCTGAGCGTGTTTTATCGTTCAGAATACTCCAGTAGGACATTGTCTGTTCCCGAGAAATGGTAGATCTTCGCCTGATGCGAGACTTTTTGAGATCACAGAATATCAGCAGATATGCTTGAACAGAAATGTTTCAGTAAAGGAGTAGCACCGGTTAAATATGGTGGGAGGCAGGACAAGGTTCTTTTTCGGACGTTTAAGAAAGAAAACATGAAGGTGAGTTAATTTTGTGA